GTTTCTGAGGTATGATTGTCTACTGATGGACCTCAGTTTTCTTCTTTCCAGCTCTCTTTCTCTATCTCTCTCTCTCTCTCTCTCTCTCTCCCACAAACAGTTACGTTCCTTATTTGTTTGTTTTTTCCTTTTAAAGATGGAGGCAGAAGATGTGAGGAACCAACTTTCAGAGTCATTCACACCTGATGATGCATTCATGTTTGGTCCAGAATCAATGCTTGAATTTGACCAAAATCAAATGGCTGGCCATTCAAAAGATTCACTGTCCTTTGATGGGGTATACTGTTTACTTCTTTTGTCTAGTTTTCGTGGCTACTGCTGAATTTTCATGTGACCTTCCACATCTGATCACAGTCGTGTATCATTCAAATTCAGAAAAATAATAATAATATCAATTATAGCATTGAAATTATGAATATTTTCAATGACTTCTCCTTATGTTGCAGGAATTTCTAACAAATTCATCAGTGGAGGATGATGCGACAAGTGAAGCATCTGTTGCTGACCTCTCTCGTTTCATTCCCAGAATGCCATCATCCACCTCTATTGCCCATGTTATCAGCATTGGACAGCTTATGGAATCCGTAATGACTTTCTTTCACACCTTGCTTGTTCTCCATTTTTGTGTCTACAAGCATCTTTGTGTACAAAATGACTTCACTACAAAATTAACAAGATTTGACAATAGTCAGAACAAGAAATGTTAACCTTATTTTTTACGGAAACTGAACAAAATTGTATTTAGGCACTTGAGGTGGCCGGCCAAGTAGCGGGAACATCTATCTCCACATCGCCCCTCCCATACAACACCATGGCAAGCCAGTGCGAATCTCTTGGAACAGGGACAAGGAAGAAGCTCTCTAACTGGTTGGCCCATGAAAATCATCAGAGCAGTGTCCGTGACAAATCGTTTCTGGCCTTTCCAGCAGATGGCCGCACAGCACTCGAGAAGGTCCGGCCTTATTTGGTTTCCCTACTCTTTTTTTCTTGTTAAAGTTGATTAACTGTGGTTATGCTTGTGGGAGAACGGGAGAGGTACCATATGTCCCGTCTGGGACATTTGGTTTTTCCTACTTTCTTTCAAGAGATTTGTGTAATCTATAGCTAACTTTTTCATAACAGCTGCCATTTAAAACTCGCTCTCTTTTTTATCCTTTGTTTTGATGTTGAACCTCTATGTTAATTCTCATGCAGATAATTAGTGAGACTGGGCCTACTCAGGGACATGCATTGCCACAGGATCCCTGGCTAGCTGTGAGGCTGCCTCCTGCTAGTCCATTTGACAACTTCCTCAAGGCAGCTGGATGTTAGGAGGGAAGCCACACTTCTTCAAGTAATCATTGTTGTAAAATATTAGGCAGTTGTATGTTGTGGGATAAATAGCTCAGAATTTGATCTAGGCTCTGATCTTTGATTTGAGGGCTTCCAGCCCAGTTTATCAACGGTTATATGGAACTCTAACCTGTAATTGAACTAAGGTTAAGCACAGTAGTTTGTAGTATGCATCTCTCTCTCTCTCTCTCTCTCTCTCATATGGTGAAAATGTGTTTAAAAAAAGTGTTAATTGGAGAGATAGGACGAGGTTTTTAACTCATATTACTACTATCAAGATAATCCTTGCTAATGCTGGTAACATATTTTTTCATATTAATAGTTCATCAATTTTCTTGGAGAAAAAAACAAGAAGCAAAGGTGAGATGTCTAAATGGGAATTTTCCATATGAAAATCCATGTAACCAACCACATTCGCGCCTCGTATATTCCCTTTGAGGGGGAAACCACTGGAAATCAGTAATTAAAATGCACCTCTAAATCGCAAATGTAATTTAGGTTAGTAATTAAAATGCACCTCTAAATCGCAAATGTAATTTAGGTTAGTTGGTTAAGGCAGTGTGCCATTTCTGTTGCAATTGAGTTCAAACTCCCTCTCAGTACATTAGAATATTTAAAATGTCGTCCTTGTTAGGAAAAAAAAGAAAAAGAAAGCACCTCTAAATCTAATGCAATCAAGTTCAAACTCCCTCTCAGGACATTTGAATATTTAAAATGTTGTCCTTGTTAGGAAAAAAAGAAAAAGAAAGCACCTCTATCTAATGCATTAGGCTGATCATGCAGGGCCTTCCCTAAACAGAAGAATCATATACAACCTTTCACACCTATTAATGCTCTTTTGTTTTGAGGATCAAATGGGTCAATCAGGCTTCTGAAAAAGTCAGTGTACTCCTTTGTTTTGGGCCAAGATTGGGAGAAAAACTTAGTTGCAATGGGATAGTCCCGGCCAATAATACCATCTCATGTGGAAGTGTTATCACGTGTATTGTGTCATGGAGTTATTAGCCTGAAATAACATAATAGTAGTGTTATCCCCATTTCATGGAAGTATTTCTTTAAGATTAGGCAGGTGCACCTGTTTGGTAGCCAATGCAGCAAGTTGTTCCCATCAGTAACTTTAGGTACAAGTTGATGGATACTTGACAACACCATCAGTTATGTACTCTATGAGCTTTACATTTTTTTCATTTCAAATAGCTAGAAATCAATCTTGCAAGGCCAAGCCAATGCTTCCATTTTTTTAGGTCACAAATTCCCCAGAAAAGCAATAACCAATGCCTAGCAGAAATCCGTGAACATTATTTTAATTTTCTTTATGATTCATTCAACTGCAATTGCGGCCAGCTGTTGGTTTTCTTTGCTTGTTACTGAGGAATTGCCACAATCTCTAACCTAACCATCCCTGCCTTTGCCCTTCATGTCTGTGCTCTTTTATAGCAACAACCTGATTCATTTTCACGTGGCCACAACTTGGTCATTTTTACCCCTCTGGTGCCTGCCTTGTCTTGAACAATCTCATCTGATTTGTGGATGGAGTATAGTGACCTGATAAGGCTCTTATGATGCCAACCCTAATTGAGAAAATCACTTGAACTCAATGCATCTTACAATAAAACACACAGCAAAATGAACTGCCTTTGCTTTTTCCATCAAAAGCCTACGAAGTAATTCTGGAACACCAAAGTACTTAATAACCCAAAGGACATGCTACAATAAAAGCTCAAGTTAAGTTGAGAACTCTCCTCTTATCATTCAGTTCGACATGCTCCATAATTGATAATCTGACACCATCGCATAAAAATCTTTAAGCTTACAGGGGCGCTAACATTTTTTTTTATTATTTATTTTTTTATGATTGATAATGAAAGCTTATAATTGCATCCAAAAAGGTGGGGACTCTCTGTATTTGTTGCCGCAAGCCAGCGTGCTCTAATTTTATCAGCACCTCCCTGGATTAGAATCTTTGATCACTAACATTTCTATTTATTTTCAAACTAATAAATGATGAATGCCCTTAATTTAATAACAGATTTGTGCCCTTTGCCGGTTCTTTATTCAACAAGGAATATTATACTTTTGTAAATTATAATGGAAAAAAATGCTGAATTGCTGCAGTCAAGGATTTGCCTGACTAATATTTCTCACTTTGCAGATACCACTGATTAATTATATTATTCTACTGTGTCTTTATATAATTATTGGAAAATATAGATTTCCACTATTTCCAGCCAAAAAGGATCCATTACTTTACTCTTTTACTGTTCTTTTTCATTTGAAGAGATGATTTTAGAGAATTTAATATGTCTTGCAATTAAATTAAAGTTGATCATTTTCCAGGAAGCACCATGATATCTTTGGTCACTCCTTTTTCTGTTTCTTTGGCATATCTTTTGTGTTGCCATTAGAGGACAAATCCTTGATGATTAAAAGAAGGGCAATATCGTTGTGTGGTTAATCATTTAGAAAAATCATGTGAGAGACACAAAAAACCAAGATCCTCTTTTAAACTTTTCGTTTATGGATCCGTATAATTAGGTGTTTCAAAATATCAATCAAATTATGCTGGATTAAGACTTTTCAAAAGGAAAAGTGTTATCAACTAATTACAATAAAATTACACTAGAATAAGACGTAATCTAGATACGATGAATTTATGAAGTTGTCTTTTGATGTACTTAAGTTTTATCATTATATTCATATACATGAACAGTTAACAATCTTCTACGTCCTAAGTCGATCACTCTCGAAAATAAAATCCTAGCTAATTGGCTTTAGCTAACAAATGTTAGATTGTTTGGCTAGTAAATTAAGCTTAAAGGGATCTTTGAGCCCAGCTGAACAAATGCAAAAATAGTCACCTCTCCTTTTGGCTTCAATTATTAGAATGGATTGCACTATCAGCCACTCTCAATTTACTGGGAGGAATATTCATACGGAATAGTTAAAGCTTTGGCACTTATTATCAACAACCAAGAAACAAGAGAAAACAAAGTTAGGTTGAATACAAGGAAATGTTACGGAAGTGGGAAAAAAACATAAACCATGTCATCAATTTTAATATTAGGTATTCGCTCATGCGATCACATTTCTTCATCATCTGTCACATCTCCCATCCTTGTTTCTTTTCTATCATACATTTTCCCTTCTGTCTTTGGAGCCAAAGAACAAAAAAGCAAAACTGAAAGCCAAATACAATGCTACCAAACAAACCTTGCACTGGTGTAAACTGTTCACTTCATTGATGTGAGAGAGAAAGGTAACATGCAGACACTAATTATTTTCAGACTAATCATATTTTTTACCTGGGTTACTGGTTTTTTAAACTTAATCCATTCATGTGAGATTAAAAGTGAGAGTAGGGTAATTCAATTTCATCCTCCAATTATCTGGTTCTTGTTCCCAACCACAACCAGGGCCTATGGCGGTGAAAGAACAGCAACAAGAACAGGAAACGGGTGATGAGTGAGTAAGTACAAGCAAAGTCTCCTGAAACCACAGCGTTGATGTTGTTGGGCCCCAGTGTTGCAGTCCCAGAACCAATAGGGTTCTGAAACGTAGTAGAATGTCACGTCACAGTTTAAAGGCAATTCCAAAGTCCCAATGCTCTGAGGAAGGTGACGGGTGGACCTCTATAAATACGGGCTACGCCTCTCTCTCCCTCTAACTTCAAATCAAACCTTTGTTTGTTGGTCACCGTTTCAGTTCAGCCTTTTATCCGTAGTGCAATCCATTTATCTCTCACACGCGACCCCAAACACAAACAGTTTCCTCATGCTCCTTCTCCACTTTCTCTCTGTGTCTTCTCTTTTCCTCAGGTTTCCTTGGAAAAGAAAGTAAAGTCTGGTCCTTTTCCATGTGAGAAAGAAAGCCCACAAAACAAAAAAACAAATGCCACTTTGGCTCCTAGTCAAGCTAAAGCCCTTTTCCTCTCTCTCTCTCTCTCTCTCTCACTCACTCACAAGCTCATTCTCCACTGTAGAAGTATTATTGTTGCTTAATTAGCTACTTCTTTTTCTTGGACATTAGAGCTTGAATTCGAGAAAGATATATGTATGAATATGGAAGATTTCTACAGGCTGAACCCAGGTGTGATATCAGGCTCAGAGATTGATGTTAATGTTGTTCATCAAGTTGAAAATATGGCTACAAGTACAAGGAATACCAGTTGTGGGTTCCATGGTCATCCTCATCCTCAGGGTCATGTAGTGGATGATAACATGCTCTTGTTTCAAACGGAGGGCATGGAATCAGATCATCATATGTCTGATCTGATCAAAACCCAGATAGCCAATCACCCTCGTTTCCCTGATTTAGTTGATGCATACCTCGAATGTCAAAAGGTTATTAATTAAATACAAGTGCATGAATGTATATTATCTCCTTTTATTTTCTTTTCGTAAAAACATTTATTGATGTGTCATTAATTGCCAAACAAATAGGTTGGAGCACCACCGGAGATGAAAAGTCTTCTTGAAGAAATTGGACGGGTGAGCCATCCCATGAGCACTTGCAGTGAGATAGGAGCTGATCCAGAACTTGACGAGTTCATGGTACTTTCGTAATTAAATATGATAATATGTTTATTTAATCATGTTCCATTTGGTTCCGGATAAGTCTTTGAAAAAAGGTAAAGAAAATTTGGTATATATGTCACTGTTTGCCGTTCCAATCCAGCCCAATTTGGACAAGTTCCCAGGATATTTTAGGTACTTGATTATTTTACTCATTAAAACAACATTTAATTAAATAATTTGTGAATTATATGTTGTCGTTTCGCAAGGAATCATACTGTGAGGTTCTTCGTGGATACAAGGAGGAGCTATCCAAACCGTTCGATGAAGCAACCAACTTCTTGACCAACATTCAGTCGCAACTTAGAAACCTCTGCAAAGGCACATTCCCAAAAACCAGCTGGGACTGTAATTCTGGTATATGCGTACATTTCTTCCACTCTAAATCCATTGCTCCTTTTTCCTTTTGTTTCTATTTTTAAGTGCAGTTTTCCTGAGATTTATGGGTCATGCTGTTTTTGCTCATGACAATGATGGTGGGGGGCTGACTTTTTTCTAGGTTTTGGTTTCTTTTTCTTGTTCTTGGCGCTGAAGTTGCGCACAGACATGCATATACATGTATTTGTTCATCAGTCCAAAAGGGGTCGCATGTAATTGCTTCTGTTTTATATATGAATCATGACACCTGAAATGAGTGGTGTGTTTTTCATGCCCTAAAAGCAGATATATCTGTATGAAAGTGACTTCCATAAGAAAGTGTTTTATATAAATAAAAAATATATAAGAAATTTCTTAGAGAAATTAGTTTTACTGGTAGAATATATACTCCCCTCCCCTCATTTTACACATAAAAACCCTAGTTTCTATAAATAACGTATATAAGTTAAGTATTCCTAATTGCTAATAGGGTCGTTCTACAAACGCATGGCAAAACCAAAAGAACTACCAAAACACTCTCCACTTTTGCCGGACCAACATAATTCCTGCATTCCCAAATTTGTTGTTACTTGGACAAACTTTGGTAAATGATATGGATAAAGACATTTTAAATTGTAATGACAAGTCTAATTACAGTAATGTTATGCGCCTGAATCATTCTGTGCATGCTTAGACATCCTTAATTAGCATGCTTTGAACTGACACTGGTGATCTCTTTGAGAAGTATTATGAGTAGAGTTTGGCTAATCATGCATCCCAATTTTGATATCTTTTAATTTACTAGCAATTTGAGTAGAATTAGGGAATAATGGGATTAGTTATCTAGATTGCAGTTAGATGCTTAATTTAGGATTACTGACCAACTGTTAGTACCATTGCAGATGAAGGGGTTGGAAGTTCAGAGGAGGAATTTAGCTGTGGGGAGGTAGAAGCAGCAGAGAGTCAAGAAACAGCTGCTGCTCGTGCGGGTGGTGATCGGGAGCTGAAAGATATGCTGTTGCATAAGTACAGTGGCTATCTTACCAATTTGAGGAAGGAGTTCTTGAAGAAACGAAAGAAAGGGAAGCTACCAAAGGATGCCAGGACTGCCCTATTGGATTGGTGGACTACTCACTATAGGTGGCCATATCCTACGGTAATTGCATTCGGTTCCAATCTCATGGATGCATCTATCTTCTCTGCTTTTCACTCAAGTGCTTTCATGTTTCTCACAATTTTCATGCAATTATGTTATGAGACGTTCTTGCTATGAAGTTCTGGTGCAGTTCAAGTTGCTTAACAAAAATATGAAAACATCGGGCGTCAACTAATAGAAAAGAAACTTGTACTATATTGTGTAATTCATCCATAGCACATGAACATGCATGGAAAAATATGTTGGTTGTGAAAAAATAGCATAAGGGCGAATGATAAATCTAACAAATGCAAGTTCTTACCCAAATGACCCTATGTTTACAGGAAGAGGAGAAATTGCACCTGTCTGAGGTAACTGGACTAGACCAAAAGCAGATCAACAATTGGTTCATAAACCAGAGGAAGCGACATTGGAAGCCATCTGAGGACATGAGGTTTGCTCTTATGGAGGGTGTTGGTGGCAGCGTCGGAGCTCCCATGTTATTCGACGCTGGGGTCGGGACCGGAAATATTGATGATATGTGAATGCTATGTCAGAGATTAATTGGTTGATGCTACTGATTTGACCACTAGTTTTAGCCACTTTAATCCATGCTTGTTAATTTGTACTGAACCTTGCACGTAATGCTAGCTTGTAGTGTACATTCTGCCTTTCTAATTCCTCTCTTATATGTATAATATTTCGATTTGGGTTATTTAGCTAGGCAATGTTGAAGGACATGGTCATAGAACCAGAGCCGGTTATAGTTTATATTTACCAGGAATCAACCAACTTTATGGTTATTTTATTTCACTTTTGGTCAAATAAATAGAATACTCAACAAATAAATATAGGCTATATTTTCTTTTTGGCCAAAGTTAGGAAGGGGGAGGGGGGAAAACTCACACACACGTGGGTGCACTATGAAAGGTTGAATCTAGGACTGCTTGAGAGCACACCAAAGACCTGGGTTAATTCAACTAACACCTCATTAGTAGCAAATATAGGCTATATAGAGTCATCCATTCTTGCATTATCTCAATTTTTTATTGGGAGTTTCATTAAAACACCAAAATGGGAGCTGAAATTATAAAAAAACCTAACACCCAAAACACTTTATAAACACACCTAAAACTCATCATTACACACTCAAAACCCATTTATAAACACACCCACAAAATATATAATTGTTGATTTTGGGTGTGTTTTTATGTTTAAATAGTATTTGAGTTTTTTTATAAATACATGTCCAGGATTGAGTTTATTTATAAATTTGTATTTTTTATTCTCTTTGTGCGTGGAGTTGCCAATCTCTACTTGAAATTGATTGTTCATTTCGAATCTTCCGAAATGACGTCATTGGGCCCATTTTGTAGATGGTTTCCTCTGGATCAAGCCCACTTTGTTAAAATCTTTTTATATGACAAGTCGTCCAGGGAAGAAAGCTAAATCACTCTTAGATGGGCCGTCCCCTTGGTTTTGGACTTGCAATATATAACCAGCAGAGCCAACTTTATTTTCAAGATAAAACTACATCAAAAGGATGAGTTAGAGCACTCCTGGCGCTCCTCTTTTGCCCGGCAGGAGGGGGCTTAGGCCCAGTAATTGGCTCCAGTGCGCAACGTCAAGATCAGGCAATTGATTGGGTCCACAAGCCTGGGCAGGTCCAAAGGCAAAATTTGCCTGGGCTGTTACTTGGGTTTGTTGACTTCAGTCAGTAACCAAAAAAAAAAAGTAAATAGAAAAAAAAAAAGCCAGATTTTTCAGATTTTATTTATTTGTAAACACCTAGTCATATTCTTTACTTCCCACATCAAAATTAATGGTTTAAGTATAAAAATAGAAAATAAATTAAAATGAATAATAATTGCACTTACCCTTGCTCTTTGGGTGGAAACAAAAAAGACAAGGGCTGCACTATTCATGTGAATAGTGACAAACCTTGCCTTGCCTTTTCCTTGTCATTGCCCTTTGGGGTGGAGGTGCTCTTAAGAGACATAAAACCTAACGGCAAGGAAACAAATGGAAAATTGAAGTTAGATTTACTAACTCACTAGCAAAACTCCTCAAAATAGATTTGCCAACTCACCAGCAAAACTCCTCAAAACAACACTAGTCGACAGATGCTCATCTTCTCTCTCTGTTTTTGTCTCTCCTTGTAGAACATGTAGATGAGGCCGCCTCCTTATGGAGGAGATTTGAGCGTATAGAAAATCTAAATTCTAGCTTAGTCGAGAATTTCACAATTCCGTTTTTTTTCATAGAATTTCAACTCAGGATTTTGGATTGGGAAATCCCAAGATATTTTCCACGCACAATTTGCCAAATTCTGAGTTCAGTTTGCCAAACGGTTTCCCTTTTTCACACTTCAAATTTAGTGTAATTTTAGTCACCAACATTAATACCGTTGGCACTCCATTTAAAAAGTGGAAAGATGGATAGGCCTAAGCTTTCCACTTTTTAGCAATCGATTTGATGTTTTGGAGGCTGCAAGCTGTGTCTGGTCCTGTTGGAAAGCGATTCTGCTTCAAATAATGTGCACACAACCATCAATTTTATTTCCTTTGGATATCTTCAAGGGCCAGACATACATCTATACTCTTTCATTTCAGGGTTTGATTGCAAAGATATATTTGGACTTGGTGTTGAGGCTTAAACAATTAACTAACCTTAGGTGAGCCAAAAACACCATAGAAATTTGGAGTTGTGTTGTGTTGTGTGGAAACAACTTTGCTTTTTAGAAGAATCGTTAAGAAACTACTCGTGTGTACTATATTGTAGGTGCACAATATTAATGCATGCCCACAAAGAGAACAGAAATTAGGGTTATATTTCACAAGAAAAATGTATAAAAGAATCTGGGACACTTTTTAACATTAATGTGGAGACTTTGTGCATAGAACTGACTATGACGTAAGCTGTGATTAAATTACTTGCACATGCTCAGAACCGATCATGATATGGACCAATAATTTTTAACATATAAAAATTCAATACTAATCTGTACAGGTCAGAACTGATCAATATCTCGTACATTTATCATATATTTTCCATTAATTAACTACTATTCTAAAAAAAATTAAAGAGTAGTACTTGGAATATGAGTTAATAATTGTTTTCCGCTGCACACATTGCTACTTTGACATGAACAAGGCTTTGGTGGCATATGTCAACAATGCTCAGGAGGATGTTGACATCTTTGGAGAGTTTTGAGACTCTCAAGGCCCTGAGATTTTCTCATACAACTCATGAACTTTTTTTGTGATTTGCACCCACACCTCTTCTCTTGGCAATGGCAGCCAGTATGTCGACACTATGAGGGAAGAGATTCAAAACTCAGAGATCTGCATATGACAACACCCAGCACTCTAAAAGCGCCCTTCTTTATATTAAACAACACGCCCTTTATGTCGACACTAAATATTTTACTCCACATGCATACACAAAAACCTAACTTCACAAACCCTAGCCCCCCTAGTGACAATTTTCTCTCCAATTCTTCGAGTCTAGCCTAATTAACAAGCTAGTCCTAAGATATATGCACAAGAACTCAAAGTCCATACCTTTCCCCTTAATAATTAATTAATAATTTTTTTTAAATAGCGTTGGATAAATTTTATGCATCTAGTCACTGGATTCTGTAATTTATTGCAGATAGAAATGTTGTGTAGATAAGTTAAAAGTGATGATTAATTGTGGAGAACCTTATTCTAGTCACTGGGTTTAAAAAAAAATATATGCATTTGGCCAAATGTTGAATTGAGATTGGAGCTTCAAGAACAAGACATCTTTGCTTTTTCAGATTTGATGTGATGATATTGGAGGAGAGGAGAAAAGAAATTGATGGACAAATTAGTTACAGCCATGGATGAAGTATCCACCGCCCCTTTGAACACATCACAGCTAGACAAAAACCACGTAATTCCATTGTTGTTTTCCTATCAGCCTATCAGATAACCAAGAATGAAAAGCACTTTGTTTTTGTCCAGAAAGGAAAAGGACAAATTCAAGTATTTCACCTGATGAACTATTGATATTAATATTTGGGATTTAGGTTAATGACAGTAACAAAAGAATGGCTGCAGAAAACAAAATTCTTGTCTTTCTCAATCGTCATTTTCTATCTTCTCGTTCCTGAGGTATCCCCTCCATTCAATCTGATGATGAAAAACCCTACAAGAATACTCGTACAGAGTCGAAGTAAAACGGTGCAATGGTGGAAAATTCTGGATTAGTATGTGTTAAGAACCTGCTTAATTAGCCCTATCTGCTAATTGATCTTGTATCTGAATCACATTAGCCCTCATTGATTGTAATTGAATTGACAATTTCCTCTACATATCCCAAAAAGTTTCAATCTGAATTGGGGTGTTCTCGTTTTTTGCAGTGCAAGATGGAACAACAGATATTATAAGGATCCAATTTCCTAGTGATTTTATTAAAATATGAGAAGCCATAATACATATGGCATGTCACAATAAGTGGGTAGATAAACAGGTCAGATATGCATTAAACACATAACAATTAAACCAACTAAATGGATCTTTATTTCCATGCATATGTGAAGCAACATAGATGAAGGCATGAAATTAAAGCAAGCTTTATGAAAGCTGCTCTTCAAAGGCCAATTCCTCAATCATCATGCTCCCATGATTGAGGAGGGGATTGAAGGCTTCAATCCCAGAACACTTGTTGGGCAGTATTATAGGAGCAGCATTAAGCCCCTGAGGATCAATTGGTGATGAGTGCTGTGCAGGCAATGCGTATTTACGCGCAATCACTACTGAGTTAATGACTTCATCAGTGGGATGAAACACAGAAAGAACCTCAAACCCTCTAAGATCATCACAAGGATCAATCACTGGATACAGAAAGGCCCTGGCACCATGTGCACTCCTTAGCATCAAAGTTGCTCCTGGAGCCATGTACTTAGCCAAGTGATCGATAATTTTCAGCTTCTCCATCTTGTCCATGCCCACAAGAGCTGCCAAAAACACAACGTCATAGTCTTTTAAAGCATTTGTGACATCCATTATATCTGTGGTGTGGAAAACCATTCTTTTTGATAGGTCAGGATCGGACGAGACCAGGCCAAGAGCCTTGGAATTGGCTGAAGGGTCAATGTCATAGTTGTGGAAAGAGGTTGTGGTGAGGTGATTGGAGGCCAAAACAATTGAGGTCAGAGGAAGAGGGCCTGAACCCACAAAGGCAATTTTGCTAGGAACATGAGGGAAGTGTTGGCTAAGGATGGTGAACTCAAGTTTGCTAAGCTTGAGGTAATTAGAGTAATAAGGGAAAATGGTGAGATGGTCAAGAGGGTGTTCATATGAGCCTAAGATGGTTGAGAAATGATTCTCCAAAAGTCCTTCTGCCTCTCCACAAAGCCTTATAAGCTTTGACCTTATTTCTTGCACCCCTTGGCATAACTTGGAAACATCAATTGGACTTGGTGGCATGCATGTGAGCACGAGTTGGGTGAAGAGCATGTTGACATCTTTGGAGGGTTTGAGGCTCTCAAGGCTTGAGATTTGCTCATACAATTCACAGACTCTTTGTACCAAGGCATCACCATGGCAACACATGTCGACACTATGAGGATATGAGATGATATCAAAGGCTCTTCTTACCAAGGAAAAATGGATTGAAAATTCAACTCTTGAGCAAATCACAACTTGGTG